ACTATCGAGCTGTTGCCCTAAGCACATTATTAAACTCAGAATGTAATTATTTACCCATTGATTGTCTAGCTGACGAACGAAACACATCTGACTTTGAGTTTGCTTGCAACACTGGTCACTAAACAATGCTTCAAAGTTTCACTGTGGCTGAAACTATTCAGGATTATAACTCACAATATAAATAAAAATAACTAGAAGTTGTACTGTAAGAAGACATTACAACCACAGTAAATATCTTGGATGAAAACAAGGCACTTAACGGAGATTTTTGCAACAAAAACACACTACTCTCGACTCTCAAAACAATGACATTCTGTATAGAACCCCTCAAAGACATTCTGCACAGACCCTCCGAGCAAAGACATTCTGCTCAGACCCTCCGAGCAAAGACATTTTGCACAGACCTTCTGAGCAAAGACCTTCTGCACAGACCATCCGAGCAAAGACATTCTGCTCAGACCCTCCGAGCAAAGACATGTTGCACAGACCTTCTGAGCAAAGACCTTCTGCACAGACCATCCGCGCAAAGACATTCTGCTCAGACCCTCCGAGCAAAGACATTTCACTATCATAATCAGAACCGATTAAGGGCATTGATTTGGCTGAATAGCCCCCGGCATGTCTCTTTTCCCCCCTCCCTTGGCCTGTTGTATTCCCCCTCCCCCTTGGCCTGTCCCTCTCCCCTCGGCCTCTCTCCCCCCCTTGGCCTGTCCCTCTCTCGGCCTGCCCCCCCCCCTTGGCCTGTTGTCTCGCCTGCCTGTTCCCTCCCCCCCTCCCCTGGACTGTCCCCTCTCTGCTTAGCATCAATACTGATTTCCTCCTTAAAGTGGATCTGAAGGTCTTCGATGTCTCGCGTTGCCACGCAGCAGGACCGACAAGTTGCTCACAATCGGTCGTCTATGCGTAAAATTTTCCGCGAAGTCTACCCGCAAAGTCTACCCGCGAAGTCTACTCGTGAAGTCTATACCCGACAAGTCTACCCGCAAAGTCGTGGTTATTACCATCAACGTTAGGTTTATTATAATTATTATGTTCCGGCCAATACAACAATAGTGTGTCCTCAGTAGTGTGCAGAGTCACAGCCCCGCTCCTGTGCCAGGTAAGTCTACTACGGGCTCACCATAGCCCGTGCTACTTTGCAACTTTTGTTCTAAGTAGCTGAATCTAAAACAACAACAACCTCTTCAGTGATGAAATAATAGTCTCTGGATAGTAATGATGAGTGTTGTTGTTGGACGGAAAATTCTGAGAATTGTTGTTGTTGTTATAGATTCAGCTACTCGGAACAAGTTCCAAGTAGCACGGGCTATGGTGAGCCCGTAGTGGACTTACCTGGCACAGGAGCCGTGCTGTGAGGGTGAAGCATTACCGTCGCTCTACTGATTAAATCACGGGAGAAGTTTTTTTTTATTCAGGAAGTAGATGAGTAACTTAATGGTACAACGAGTGATTATACACCAGACACGTGTGTGTGGATGTTCTTTGTGACTGTTCAATGTGTATATGGATGAGGAAGGTCAAAGGAACAATGGTTTTAATTTAATAAACAACTTTATATAATTTAATATTCGACTGTAATGATGTGTGTCTGATTTAATGCATGCATGGGCTTCAAATTCTTCTGAAGATACGTGAAGATTAGCTTAAAGTTTCGTGTGGGATGTGAAAGAAAACTGCTAAATGTGTGTGTTAACACAAGGAAGGAAATAGAGGCTGAGAAGTTTGTGTTTGTGAAGTAGAATAAATTGAAAAATGCATGATTTGATGGATTGATTTAAATAGATATAGTCAGTAATTGAGCAAGTGGTTGCAAAATGGCATCTGACAGAGTCGCTCATCATAGGAAAGTTGCTGAGGGCAATGAAAGCCCAATTTAGATAAAATAGAAAGTTTATATATATATATATATATATATATATTATATATATATATATATATATATATATATATATATATATATATATATATATATATATATATATATATAGACCAGCCTTACATTATATGATAACATGTGATACAGGTACAGCACAAGCTTGGCGAATTCTAGGTTAAAACAGATGATATAAACGTGTGACGAGCTCAATTTACCCGTCTCAGGTATTCTCCTTTTATAAGAAAAAGCAACGTATGCAAATGATTTGCTCCGTAGGCTTAGAATCAGATATTTACACCAAGAGGCTCTGCTACGAGAAGTGATTATCACAAGAAGTGAACCAAGCTTGGAAGACTTAGAAAACTTGGAAGTCATTGCTTACGACTTCGCTACGACAAGATTAAATATCGCGTCGAATCCTCGTGACAGGAAAGATCAGGACGTCACGGGGGGGGGGGGAGAGAGAGAGAGAGAGAGAGAGAGAGAGGAGAGAGAGAGAGAGAGAGAGAGAGAGAGAGAGAGAGAGAGAGAGAGAGAGAGAGAGGAGAGAGAGAGAGAGAGAGAGAGGGAGAGAGAGAGAGAGAGAGAGTGAGAGTGAGTTACACAGGGGAGGTCTTGAACTAACGAAGGAGGTCTTGAACTAACGAAGGCCACGTTGCTCATAAACAGCATGCTAAACAAGGTCAAGTTCCGGCGACAAGTCACAATAACGTGGCTGAAGCATGTTGACCAATCCACATACTAGAAAATGATGGGACGACGACGTTTCGGTCCGTCCTGAACCATTTTCAAGTCGATTGAGAATGGTCCAGGACGGACCGAAACGTCGTCGTCCCTTCACCTTCTAGTGTGTGGTCCACCCAGCTGTCCACCCAGCTGTCAGGCGCCTGACAGCTGGGTGGACAGCGTTTCGGATTCGTAGTTCTGAGGTTCCGGGTTCAATCCCCGGTGGAGGCGGAGACAAATGGGCAAAATGTTTCTTACACCCTGATGCCCCTGTTACCTAACAGTAAATAGGTACTTGGGAGTTAGACAGCTGCTACGAGCTGCTTCCTGGGGGGTAGAGGCCTGGGGCCAGATGCACGAAAGCACTTACGAACCTGTTCATCTTTTCTCAATCTTTGGAGGCTTTGTTTCCAATTATTAAACAGTTAATGAGCTCCGAATCACCAGGAGAATGTTTATAACAATAACAACAGTTGAATGTGAAGTTTTCATGCTTGTAAAGTGTTTAATAAATGGAACCAAATCTGTCAAAGATTGAGGAAACATGTACACGTTCGTAAGTGCTTGCGTAAGTGCTTTCGTGAATCTGGCCCCTGGTCGAGGACCGGGCCGCGGGGACACTAAGCCCCAAAATCATCTCAAGATAACCTCAAGAATATAACCGACTACGATGTTGGGTCAATATGCCTAACCACATTACCTGGTTGACAACTCTTCACTTGACAAATTAACGACAATACCTGTTTGCTGTAATGAATCAGATAGTTACTACAATTTTTAGTGGTAAGATCATTTTTTTTCCAGAATCGTCAATAATCTTTACAATACTTCAGAGCTAAACACACGATTCCATCATCATCATATCCCATTAGCATTCATTGTAATAAGTACGATACCGAACCTACAGCTGTACTGAGACCCTGAACAAGGTTGATTTAGAAGCAAAAGACTCGAAACAGTTGAAAGCACTGTTAGGGGCTAGTGATAAACTCCCCAACCCCCCGTTAGTGTGCGTGTGTGTGTGTGTGTGTGTGTGTGTGTGTGTGTGTGTGTGTGTGTGTGTGTGTGTGTGTGTGTGTGTGTGTGTGTGTGTGTGTGTGTGCGTGAATGAATTAGCTGGAACAACGTCAGAAATAACCCAAAACATGTTGAAGACCATGTGATGAGAGTCGTGACTTGTGTTGAGCTGCGACTCATCACAGACTCATCAACAACCCCCACGGACATACCACCTTCACAACACACACACACACACACACACAACACACACACACACACACACACACACACAACTAGATGAATCTGTACAATTAACCAGAATCTGTTCACCAGTAGAATGACAGTTAAGAGGCGGGCCCAAAGAGCCAGAACTCAACCCCCCCTGCAAGCACAACTAGATGAATACACACTACTAACGAATGCATAGACATGCTCTTCTCTACTTGCGTTATGGGTGAAGGATTTCTCATCATGCATCGCTGTTTTTGTTGAATGTCGGGAGACTCATCTCCGCATCGCGTCAATGTTTGGGATTTGGCATGGCTGGATTGTTGTTGCTTTTGGTAGTTGACTCAAGGCCGACGATGAAATTAGACTTGCTTTATTGTAAGACTTGATGCTTAGCCGGTGAGGGCTGGCTGTTGTGTTAATGGCTTCACTTGATCTTTGATCTCTCATGGAAATGAGATTCTAAAATTCTTGCTCTGTGTATTATGTTGTGAATGTCGATGTTACATTAACGGTATCTATTTTGCATGTTGTGAATGTCGATGTTACATTAACAGTATCTATTTTGCATGTTGTGAATGTGCATGTTTCATTAACGGTATCTATTTGCATGTTGTGAATGTCGATGTTTCATTAACAGTATCTATTTGCATGTTGTGAATGTCGATGTTACATTAACAGTATCTATTTTGCATGTTGTGAATGTCGATGTTACATTAACAGTATCTATTTTGCATGTTGTGAATGTGCATGTTTCATTAACAGTATCTATTTTGCATGTTGTGAATGTCGATGTTTCATTAACAGTATCTATTTTGCATGTTGTGAATGTCGATGTTACATTAACAGTATCTATTTTGCATGTTGTGAATGTCGATGTTACATTAACAGTATCTATTTTGCATGTTGTGAATGTGCATGTTTCATTAACAGTAACTATTTTGCATGTTGTGAATGTGCATGTTTCATTAACAGTAACTATTTTGCATGTTGTGAATGTCGATGTTTCATTAACAGTAACTATTTTGCATGTGAATGTCGATGTTACATTAACAGTATCTATTTTGCATGTTGTGAATGTGCATGTTTCATTAACGGTATCTATTTTGCATGTTGTGAATGTGCATGTTTCATTAACGGTATCTATTTTGCATGTTGTGAATGTGCATGTTTCATTAACAGTATCTATTTTGCATGTTGGGTTTTCAAGTCCTTGAAGAGGTGTCTCTCAATCACATAAAGCTGCTTCTCTAGTATCTTTCAGTGTATTATAGTATATTCTCTAGTATCTTTCAGTGTATTATAGTATATTCTCTAGTATCTTTCAGTGTATTATAGTATATTCTCTAGTATCTTTTATGTCACGTTGTAGAGCAGGTGAGTCTGTAGGTGTGGAGCTCGGCCAGTTGTTGTTTTTCGTTGCTTTTAGTTATCTATTTTTTATTTTATGCCCCAAAGAATGAGGTGATTTGATAAAATACCATGCCCAAGATTACCAACAGAGTGCCGGCGGGGGGATGGAAATAGCCTCGGCTACCATCGTCTTTTGTCCGGTCGCGTTGGTTGAGCGGTTAAGGGATTCTGTACGCCAGCAGAGTGCTCCTGGCAGTATGGGTTCGAGTCACTTCTGGGGTGTGAGTTTTCAGTTGCATATAGTCCTGGGGACCATTCAGGCTTGTTCGCATTTATATATTTTCTAATGTAACATTTCGGACAATTATTGTTTGGGAAGAAATCGACGATGT